CGATGAACTTCCCAGCTGGAGAGATCCCGTGGTGCTTGGGTAGGCCCACAGCAGCACGCGGAGCAAGTGCGCTTGGAGCAGGGAGCTTCCCAGCCCCAGGAATTCTGCAGCATCCAGGCCGGAGAGCAGCCCATGAGCTCCTGTGCGCCCCGTGCGCTGCTGGTGCCGGTGCCGGTGCCGGAGGGGCTCCCGGTGCGGTGCTGCAGGAACCTGTTCCGGCACCTTGCTCCCTCTCCGGCAGGTCCGAGCAGGTCGGGCGCTTGCAGTTTTCCCCTTTGGGCGTCAGGGACCAGCGAAGCTGCTGAAAATTAAAGGTGTTATTTAATGCAGCCAGCATCAAAGCCCTGGGAGCGGGCGGGTTCCTCGGAGCAGCAAACCACCCGCCACGCTCAGCCCCCGCGCCCTGCGCGCTGGGCTCCGCATCCAGCTGCATCCCGCGCTCCCAAACCCAAACCCGCTTCCATCTCCCATCTCCCCTCGCCCTGCACCCTGCATCCTGCACCCTCACCCTTCCCCGGCCAGGCTGGTCCTCAGGGACCCTGTAGCACCAGCCCTGGCTGCCATGAGCGTCCGGGCACCGAATGCAGCCGGGAGAGGCTGCAGCTCTCGCGAGGAGCCCGGAGCACCAGCCGGGAGCCGGGCCGGATAGCGCCTTCTCTCCAGGATGTGTCTGGCTTTSCATGTCGCCTCCGATGGTTTCATGCTCTGCATTGGTGCTCCCAGGGCTTTGCAGTCCTGAGCTTGGGCATCCCGGGAAGCCGCTCGGGGTAGCCGCAGTGCAAACACATCCCAAGGTCGGCAACACCGGCTCCTGGCGGGACAAGGCCCTCGGGCGCTGCCCATGCAGCTCCCACCTCTCGGCAGTAATTTACTGTGCCATGCGCTGCTGTGGTAATGCAAAGCACCAGGTTAGAGCTGGTTAGAAACAGCAACGACTATGGCGGAGCCCATCGTGGAGCTGGTTAAGGCACCATCTGTTAAGGATTTATTGCCATTCCATTTCCTAAAATGTCTTTTTAATAACTTGTTAAACGAAGGTACTTGAAGAGATGACTRAATAAATATCAGCTGCTAAACGGCTGCCCAGGGATGTCCATCCCTGTCCCACGCCATCCGCAGAGGCCTCTCCAGAGGCCCTGGCCGCTCTCAAATGCAGGAGCTCGAGCCCCTGCGGTGGATCCCATCCCATGGGGATGCTGGATATGGGGACACGGGAACGTCCTGCACGTCAGCCAGTGTCCCAGGCTGGTGGAGCTGGTATTGGGAACCACGGAGGCAGGAGCTGCAGGGCCTTGGCGCTGCCCCGAGCGGCGCGTGCTCAGCCCCGAGACGTCACGGTCCCCGGCGCCCGCCGCTGCAAGCAGAGCAGCTCCCTCCAAACGGGCTGCTGAAGGGCCCCGCGAACGCAGGGCTCGTCCCCGACCTCCTCACGGGGCAGCGCGCTCGCAAGAGGAGCCGGGGCGGCAAGAAAGCACGCGGGACACAGCCAGCTTTCCATAGGAAAAAATCTTTTATTTAACAATATATCAGGTTCCATCATGGCTCCATGGAATTCAGATTCCATATTACCGATTACTGACGATGACGGTGATATGCTACTGGGCGGAAGCGGCGGTGGAGGCGGCGGCGGGAAGAGCAGGGGGACATGAGCGGGAGGAGAGCAGGGAGCTCCGGCCGCGGCCGGGCCCCGCACATGGAGCATGGATGGAAGCCAGGGACGACCCGGCCAGGCAGCGCGGGGCCCGGCTCCCCCTGGTCCATCACACGATTAAGGCGCTCTGCTACCCAGGACCATGGGACAAACACCAGCATTTTTTTTTTTTTTAACTTTTTTTTTTCATCTTGCTTTGTTTTTTTGTTTTTTGCCAAACACTGGACTGTGGCATCGCATGAGGTGACGGGGAGGTGCGCGCGGATGGATGGTGCGCCGGGCTGGCGGGTCCGTGCGGGGCCCGGCCGCGGCGCAGGGGACACCGGGGACGGGCAGGGAGGCAGCAAAACCCCTCGGCCGGGGGCAGTGGCCGAACTCGGCCCCAGGGCCCCCTCGATAGGATGCAGAGCGTGACCGGGAGCAGCGGCGGCGCCGCGGGCCGGTGCCGGCCGACCTGGGCAGCGCCCGGCTCGGTGCCCRGCCCGCGCTGCAACGGGAACCGGCGGCACGAGCGGGATCCGCACCCACAGCCGCCCCGGGGAGGCACGGGCAGGAAAATCAAGGCTTCAAAACGGAGCACTGAGCAAAAGGCCGTGATTTCGTTTGGGATGAGGCGCCAGGTTCCAGGCTCCTTCTGCTGCACCCTGCACTGCTCCCTGGCCGGGGCTGCCACGGCAAGAAACCCCATTGAAAACAGCGGGAAAATTCCCGGGGCGGCTCCAGGCACCGGGAAGGGCCCCGGAGCCGTCCGGGCTGGCCCTGCACCATATCGAGGCGGTGGCACCGCTCTGCGCGTCCCCTCCCCGCGGGGACACCCGGCGCACCCGCAGCATGACAATGGTTTTGATTTACACCCGTTCTCGTGGTTACAATTTTTTCTTTTTTTTTTCCTTTTTTTTTGTTCTCATTTGTTTTTTTTCTACGAAAAAGCAACCAGAAAATAATTCAGAGTTTATACAAAACATCTTTACATTATTTCTTCCAAAAAAGACTAGTATTTACACAAACAAAACAAAACAAAAAAAGAACGAAAGCAAAACAAAAAAAAACTTCAATCCTCTCAATGCAAAGAATCAAGGGGACACTCAGGTTCAAGGCCCAGCAGACCGAGGTGCTCAGCAAAGCAAAACAACCAGCGAGTTCCGATTTCACCCTTTCTTCACATATTTACAAGCTTGCCCAGCTGCCCCYGGCAGAGGGGGCGCCGGGGGGCGCGGGCAGGATCCATCCTTTCCCGTCCCTGCCCTTCCCGGGAGGGTGCGCGAGCCCGGAGCCGCTTGCGCGCCGCCTCCTCTTCCCTACGYGCCGCAGGGGAGCTGGGGGGGCTCCCGGCCGGAGCGGGACCCGCTCCCGACCCGGCTGCGAGCTGAGGCGCCCTGCCTGGAAGCAGCAGCGAGGGGAAGGGGGGGGTCTCCGAGACGAGACTGACCAGGCGGCCGCTGCCCCTCCCCAGAGCATCCTGGAGCGTCCCAGATCATCCCGGAGCATCCTGGAGCATCCTCCAGCATCCCAGATCATCCCGGAGCATCCCAGAGCACCCTCCAGCATCCCGGAGCATCCCAGAGCATCCCGGCCRCCCGTCGGCCCCGCGGCCGGGATGRCGAGGGGGGCTCTGCTTGTCCAGGGGCAGCGATGGTCGCGGCCGGGCTGTCACCCACGGCACCGTCTGCCCCAGCGCGGCGGCCGGAGGCTGCCCCAGCGCCGCTTTTGGCCCCCTTGGAGGGGAAAAAACAGCAAAAAGCAAAAAAAAACCCATGAAAAAAGGCAGTGCAAGCAGTGCAACCCCCGCCGTCCCGCCCGCCGCCTCCCTGCCCTCCTCTCGTCAAGGCACTTTTGCAGAGCTCTCGCCCTCTTTGGGCATTCCCAGATTCCGGGGCCGCCGCGGAGCAGAGCGGGGAGGGAAGGGACCCGGCCAGCCCCTGCTCCGCTCCCACCGGCACCGGCACCGCCTGCGCCCGCCTTGCGCCCGCCTTGCGCCCGCTCCCTGAGCAAAAGCAGCTGCTTCCAAAGGAAAGGAGAGCAGGGAGGGAGGACGTGGTCCGGGAACGCAGCGGGATGGGCATGAGGATGGTGAGGTCTGGGGCAGGAGCCGCCCGCCCTTCCCGGGGATGCAGCGGAGCCCACGCTCACTCCCAGCAGCAGCCGGACAAACCTCTTGCTCAACAGCCTCGCGCTGTGCGGGGTCAGGAGCTCTCGGGATGGGGGACACCGGACCGGGAATGCCGGCGGGGTCTGCCCCGGGGCCCCGGCTGGGCTCTGTCTGCCTCCCGCACCCCATTCCGGCCCGCAGCATCCACCAGTGCTCCCGGCTCCTCCGCACGGAGACTCCCTGCAGGCACCCCGGGCAGAGCCCGCGGCAGCCCCTGCGCGCATCGGGACACATCGTGCACCGAGGGGCTCGCGGGTGCCCCGCTGCCCTCCGCCCCGCGCCACCTCCAGCAGTCCCAGCGCCGCCGGACGGCAAGGGGCGGCCGGCGCTTCCTTGTGCCCTCGGGAAGACGCCGTGGGAGCTTCCAGCAGAGCCGCAGCAGGGATGAGGCGTTCAGGGCTCCCTCGCGCACTGAATGCTTGAGACATCGGATATATGCTTTTTTTTTTTTTTTCTTTCTTTCTTTTTATAAAGAGACTAAAACAAGTGTCAACAGCTACGAACACAAAGGTTTAAAACGGCAGCAATGGGAGAAGGTGGGAGTCTGTGTCCCGCACGCAGCGGGGCCGGCAGGACGGCACGGTGCAAGGAGGCAATGGCGTTGCCTGAACACAGTGGTGGGTGGCGGGACTCTGGACCAGAATTCACAAAAATAAAAATGTTACAAAAAATTAAAATAATTATAATAATAATAATAGTAGTAGTAGTAAGTCGGGTTTGCCAGCTTCCTCCCTGCACAGTCGTCTGCATCTTGGCACCTCGGCAGAGCATCCTCCTCGTCCCCGCCGCGCTGCTCGCTCCACTTGGCGCTCCCGGCGTCCATCCCGGCTCCCGGGCTGCTCCCGGGACGCCGCGGGGGCCGCCACAGGGCCAGGCACGCGGGGACTCGGCCGAGGGAGATCCCAGGACGCACAAGGGCAGTGGAGCTTCCCGGCACGCGGCGGTGTCCAGGAGAGCGAGGGAAGGCACGGGGCCYGCGCGGGCGCCGCCAGCGCCGGCACGCAGTCTGGAGAAGAAGAGGAGGATGCCGAAGGCTCACCCTCGAGTCTTGGGGATTACAAAAGCTGAGAACTACAAAACTAAATACAAAGGGGAGGAGGTGAGCGGGAGCGTGCGAGCCAGCGATCCCCCACGGGGCGCCAGCCCCTGTTGCTGCCCTCGCCGTGCCGCGGGGTCGCTCCGCCTGCCCCGCCGCGGAGCGGGCGCACGAGCGCGGGGCCCCGCGCCCGCCGCGCTCCCGGGCTCTTGCATCGGCCGGTTGCCGCRGCTGCTCCTCACACCTTGTAGTAAATGTTGGCTGGGCTCTGGGGGGGCATCTCCTGGACAATGTAGACGGGGTGCCCGTAGTCCCCGCTCACCTTCTCGTAGTGAGGGCAGTAGTTGTTTTCTGTAGTCCGTAAGGGGATGATGATATCGCTGGGTTCCGAGCCCGCGTTCCCGCTGCATTTGGGGCTGGCCAGGGTGCTGAGGGACAAGGCTGCGGCCCGCTGCTGCGTGTGCTTCCGGTGCCGCTTGCGGATCTTGATCAGGAGCACGACGAGGAAGATGATGATGAGGATGAAGATGACACAGCCAGCACCAATCGCCGCGAAAATCGCAACCTTGGAGCCAAAGAACCCGTCGCTGGGACCTTGGGTTTCCTGCCCATCTTGGTTGACGGGCCCTGCRGTGCAAGGGGAGAGGGGCGTTAGAGGAGCACGCAGAGCAACCCGCCGTGGCGCGCGGGGACAGCCCGGCGCAGCAGCCCTGCACGAGGGTGTCCGGGGAGGTCCCATCCCAGCAGCCGGGCTCCCTGCTGCAGCCGTGCATGGATTGCTCCCCACGGATCTGTGCCCCTCTCCTGTCCTCCACCCCGAGCCCTGCTCTGGGTGAGGAGGGCGTCGAGGCCCTGCCTCCAGGAGAAGGGAAGAGCAGCCAAGACAGAAGCACAGCAGCCTCGGCTCCCTCCTCCCTCCTCATACACTGAACAGCCCACGTCTATGAGTCCCTTCACCCCAGTTTCCACGATTAGGGCCTCACAGGGCAGACACCCTTGGAGAGCCACAAAGAAGGTCCTCGGGCTGTCCTCTCGCTCACCCTGCCCTGGCATTCCCTCTTTTCACAGCCTCCAGGCCAGCCAGGAGACAGAATGCAGTTCATATCCGGCTTATAATCAGGGCGAACCCCAGGAGCCCTTGCTCTCCTCAACAGACTCAAATGCTCTAATGAAAGTGGGTTCTGATACCTGCAGACCCGCAATATCCTATTACTGACCCCCCACCTTCTCCTGACCCCCACTCCGTGGCAGCCCCGGGCCCCCGAGGGGAGGCCACTTGACTGTCTATATTGCAGGAGAAGAAAAGAGCAACTTTTCCCGGCTTCATCTGATTTCACTTTTCTCTCAGCAGGGTCAGGAACTCAGGAAACCACCTTCAAAGGGCTTTCACACTAGCTCAGCTCAAACACCCAAGGACCTCAACTCCTCCAAGCCCTCTCATTTCTACCTCGAAGAACAGACGGGTCACAAAGAGAGGAGGAGGAGGAGAGGCTGGAACAGCACTCGCCTCTGCAGAGCTACTGCCTGCCTGGAGAGCAGCTGGGAAAACACGGCCGGGAGCCTTCCCAGAGCCGCTCACCACTTGTGCAGTGCTGCAAAGCACAGCATTTTGGTCAAAAACCGCAGAGTTAAAGCAAGGGAAGCTCTGAGCAGAGACTGCAGAAACTTGCGCTGTGTTTACAAGCAASAGATCTAAACTCTGCTCTGAAGGGCGCTGTATCCCCCGGGATCCGCAGCACATCCCGAAGCTGCTTCTCTCCTACGGACAGCAGGTRCTGGCCAAACTGCTGGGCCCAGGGGTGTCCAGGGCCCCGTCCCCTTTTCCGAGACGTCYTCAGCAAAACCCACCTGGCTTCCCCGGCTCCTCCACCGCGGGCACCCTGTGGCGCGGGCTCTGCGTGACGATCTTCACTGTGTTGTCRGACTCCTTGCTAGGCCGACTCGTCGTCAGCTGCTCTGGGATCACCGCGTTCGGGTCTGGGGAGACAGAGAGGGGCCAGGTGAGGAACCGCCCTTCACCCTTCACAACAACGGCTCTTTCCCCACCTCAACGACAGCTTCCCCCCAGGGCAGGACCATGCGTTTCCCCAGGACCTCTGGCAGCGCAGTCAGCAATTGCCCAGGGCTTTCTGCCCAAACTGGGCATTTGCCCAATGCCCAAAACGGGGGCATTTCAATCAGGCAGGATACTCCTGATCAAGACACAAGCCTTGTCATCCCCGGGGAAGCAGGGACTGAAGGAGAAGGCACAGGTGGCTGTCAGCGCTGGGAGCTCCATCCTGCCACGGGAGGCAGCAATGCGGTGCCATCCCTCCTTCCAGGATAGCTCGGCTGTGGGCTTTGCAGCCCCCAGGCCACGTCCAGCACCCAGGGACCCTTGGTTCTCCACAGTCAGACACGTCAGGAGCTCCTTCACAAGTGCCACCAAGAGAGATGGGTTCCYGAGCTGGACTTGGCCAACAAGAGCACAAGGACAAGGACAGGGACCTTGGCCAGAAGGGCACTCGCCCGGGAAGCAAGTGGCAAAATGAAGTGCAGTTGAGCAGTACTGTGAAAGAAAAGCACCTTGAAGGCACGCGACAGGGACACGGGTGCAAAGCAAAGCTGCAGCCTTCCTGTTCTTGAGGGAAAGGGATTCCCGGTCCTGTTCCCTCCCTGTGCTTGCCGAACCCCTGTGCGTGGGTCTGCAGCACGGGCAGCAGGGCGAACACAAAGGCAGCGCGTCTGCCAAGACTGCAGCGCTCCTTCTTTTGTTTATTATAAATATTGGCCCCAAAGTGAAAACAAAATAATGAAAAGCAGCCACCAGGAGCTCTGCCTGCGAGACGGCTGCTCCAAGGAGCCCGTGGCGTCCCGGGGCTGGGGGGCTAGGGCAAGGAAGCTCGCAGGGAGGCCCCCAAGCAGGAGCGAGCTCAGCAAGCCTGGCCAGGGCACGTGCTGGTGCCAAGGGGGCAGCGGTTGCGGGCGCGCGCTCGGCACGAGCCTCCGTGTAGCCGCTGCGGCGCCCTGGGCCCCCCAAAGCAAGGAGCCCCCGTTGCACATCGGGCRGATCCCCGGCCACGGCCTCAGCCTCGCAAGGCAGCCCAGGCCAAGGCAGCGGGGCCGCCGCTCCCGGCTCCGTCCCGGCACCGACAGAGCGGGGCGGGCGCTCCTGGGAAGGGCACGGACTACGTGCAGCCGCTGCGGCTCCTACAGCTTGCAGCTCGGCCACAGAACACAAGGGGAGGGAGAAGTGGCAACTACTGCGTTCTAATCCGAAGGCACTAACTGCCCAAGAATCAACGACAAAAAAAAAAAAAAAAAAAAAGGGAAAGATCCTAAAAGCGAAGTTCTGCTGAATGAACTCGGGAGCCCTTCTGGCTCAAAGCAGCATTTGGCTGCACCTCAGTTTCCCTGAGATCCAGAAACAACAACATGCCAGAATAGGGGCCCTGGTTCAGCTCCACAGCAGAACAGAGAGGCTGCCGTAAAATGAAGCTGTTGGAAATTGCATCACTCAAGTTAAGCAATTTGAGGATAACTTCCAAATCCACTTAGTTCTGCCTCCTCCAGACTGCTTTTCTTCCTTGCTCCCCTGCAGCAAAGTCAACCTGATGGGCACATTTTGTTAGGCAATTAGAGCATCCAAGTGCTCTTCTTACAAACATGTCCAGAGTCTCAACCGGTTGTGAAACTGCAGTGAGCAAGTGCTTTGCAACACCCAGCACGATATTAAATATTTTCTGAAGGACACATGTTGCCCTGTTCAAGGGTGGAGTGGACGAGGAGTCTGGGAATACTGGAAATAAAAGTGCAAGCAACAGTTCTGTAATGGTGTCTGGACAAAAGAGGACTTGGGAGGGTTTCTCTATTCCTCTGATATGCRCAGAGGAAAAACGGGGCTTCCTTCTGGGACGGGTATGCTATGGTGTGCTGTGAACTAGAGGYTTTTACCATTTAATATTGAAACAAAAAAAATCAATTCAAATTGATAATCTTATGAAGGAACAAAACCAGCTCTCGCTTTTCTGCTCCCTGTTGCTCATCACCCCAGGATAAAGCAGGGCAAAAGCAAGTGTCCAGCCCTGGAACGCAGCCCTTGCAGGAGCTCCAGACCCTGCGGCCCCGCAGCGCGCCGCCAGCCCTGGCAAGGGCTGCGCAGGGCGTCTCTGCAGCGCCAAGGCTGCACGGGGCACGTCGGCGCTGCGCCCGGCGCGCAGCCCAGGGCGCACGGCTACTCACCCTGCCCCACTTTCATGACAATCTTCATGGAGCGGGTCTGGCAGACGCCTCCTTCGCGGTTCTCCAGGCCATCCAGAGTCCCATTAGAGGTGGCTGGAAGGGAAAGAGACAGACCATTGGAGAGGCTCTGCAAGGAGYGAGCAGGCGCGAAGCAGCTCCCCAGCTTGTGCTTGGGCAGCCTCCGCCTAAAAGGCGCGTTGAGTCATCCAGGGGGACGCCAAGAAATGTAACAGGAGAAAGCTGCAAAAATAGCTGCGCGCCGTGGAAATGTGGCCGCCCGGGGCTCCCCGGCTGGCGAGCGAGGCAGGGCTCAGCTCCCCGCTCTGCGCCGGTCGCTTGCGGCTCGCCTAGGAGAGCGCCGCGGAGCAGGGGGGCCGCRCACGGGCAAACAAGCCTCCCCACCCGGGCAAACAAGCCCCGAACGTGCGCGGTGTGGGCGCAAGCTGAGAGGGAAGAGCAGGAAAGCGGCGGCCGGAGCACGGGGGGCTCTGCCCGCTGGGGGCTCTTGTTGGCAAAGCTGCGGGCAGGGCTGGGGGCGACGCCGCGGCCGCCCGGCTCCCCGCACATCCTCCMTGCCCAGCAGCGCGAGCGCGCGCACATGCGCAGCCTGCATTATACGGATATAATTACACCCTGCGCCTCAGCAAAGAATGTAAACGCAGGGCCCCAGTGGGCTTGGACGGCTTTAATTGCAGGGCAGAAGTCAGTTAAATTCGCATTAGCTCTTTCCTTGAGCTGGCACGGAGCTTTTCCCAAGGCTGCCCGTGCCCTGTGGGAAGGGCCCCTGCCCGGAGCCCGGAGCTCGCTGCAGGGACGCGGCGCGGGCGGCTGCGGCGCTACGTGGCCGTGCCCGGCCGCCAGCTCGGAGGATTACGTGCCCGTGTGGATTCCGAGCGCTTCAGATAGCAATCGGAGGCATTTCCACATACCTCCGCGTGCAAATAAGCCCTCGGTGTGAAACGCCAGCGAATGTTTTGCTCATCAGCAAGCTGCTCGGACATGTGCTGAGTTATCAGCTCTCCGGCGGCGGCCGCTTCCCTTGCCAAGCGCCCGGCACACGAGGCCGTGTGTCCTGGCGCTGGGATTCACTGGCYACGCTCGGTCAGGAGCCCCGTGTCAGCAAAACCCCACGCCACGCACGGAGAACCTGCACGGACGTCCCCCTGGAAAGGGGCAAGCGCTTCGGAASAGGCTTCGAATAGCTCAGAAACCTCCTGGAAGCTCCTTGGGAGCAAATCCTTGGAGGACAAGCTCTGGAGTGGGAGGGATCCAACCTGCGCCACCTCCTCCCAAACGCATTCAGGAGAAGCTTTTAACCAGCCTCAGCATTTGCTTTGGACTGGAATAGAGTGTCTCCATCCTCCYGGTGCAGAGGCACCGGCTTTGGAATAAAACAAGGAATCGACAACTTCCCAGGGCGCGGAGGCCGCCCGCCAGCAGACGCTGGCACAGAGCTGGCTGGTCCTCCACACTGCGGGGCTTTCAAGACCCCGTTCCCCAGCGCAGCACCAGTCAGGGCAGCTGACAGGGCAGAATCCCAGAATCCCAGAAGGGTTGAGGCTGGAAGGGACCTCTGGAGATCATCTAGCCCAACGCYCTGCTCCAGCAGGGACACTCAGAGCACAGGGCCACTTAAATAAAGGCAGAGAGGAAGGCAAACCCACCTGCAGACACCGGGTGCTGAATGATCTTAGGAGATCTTATAAAAAAGAAAGCACCCTAATGATATAAGAAAGGGCGTGAAGCCTAAACACAGCATTAGGGTTCCTCATTGCCCATGTCTTCACTCCCCATGTCCTCAGGGCTGGTCACCACCGAGCTCCTGGGGCTCCATGCAGGGATGCAGCCAAAGCAGGACGAGATGGAGGCCTCAGCCTCTCCAMAATAACCACACAAACATTATGTCAGGATAGGGCAAAATATTAAGTGATAAAACAACATGAAGAAGTGCTAGCTGAAGAATCACATGAATGGGCTGAAGAGGACTCAGCTGAGGGTGCTTTTCCCCAAAGAACACAGCAGACTTTTTGAAGGAGCCTACAGAAAAGCCTCTCTTATTCTGTCATGATAATTATGAGGGGGAGAAAGGAGCTTTGAAAAGGGAACCACATAAAAAAAAAATGAAGCAGCTACTTGAAGGAACATGAAAAGGGACAGCTAAAAGGGTAAAATGCTTGCAAAAACCATGGAGATAGCCGCTAATATAGCCTCTCCAAACAAAGACTCGAAACAAGGACATACACTACTAAATTCTATATATATCCTGAATAGGCCAAAACCAAAGCAAAGCAAGATCCTCAGCATAAAAGACCGCACTTCAAAAAGTTAAAATCACATCCAAATTAGTACAGGAGACAGTGTAACTTTTGGAAAGCTTATACAAACATTTTAGAAGAGCTAAGCTGTTTTTGCGAAGGAACTGGGCGCTCAGGATCTCAGGGTAACAGTTTTTGCAAAGGCCTCGGGAGCAGGAAGGCAGGTCGAGCCTCGGAGGGGCCCCCAAACACTTAAGCGAGCGAGGGCACCGCCGAAAAGCTAAACAAATTATTATCATCACTATTCATTAGGCAGCAGGGCAGGATGTTTATACATCAGAGTCGTTCTTAATGGTGAGATACCCCAAATAAAGTGCTTCAAATCAAGGTATCGATAGAGAGGGCTTTTGGGGGAGAAAAATAAAAAAATACCAGGASAGAAAGCCAACATCACACAAAATGATGGGCAACAAGTCACTTGTGAAGAGATCCCCGAAGCGACGCGGGGGCTGCGCAGCGCCAGACTCCTGCACCAGGATAAAGGCAGCACGTTTGCAGATAAAACAGTGCAACCCAAGTCCCCTCTGAGTTTATTAGCACTCTCCGAGGAAGACAAACACGAAAATAAAGATATTCCAGCTGAAAAACGTACTTCCAACAAGTGCACYTAGAAAATGAAGCTGGAAGTGAAAGACAGGGCTCTCTCAGGATTCCTGTCTCCATCACAGGAGAAGATTTATCAGCAGGATGACCCGGGACAGGATCTCGTGCTGCTCCAACCCCGCGGGCGGTCTGGAGAGCACATGGAGAGCCTCACCAAGGATCCCGAAGGATTCATGATCCTTTAGCCGGCAGACCTGGGGAAGTGCCGCGTAGCGCGGGACCACTGGTTACCAATGGCAGAAGAAACTTAACGTTAACGAATGCAAAGCAACGCGCAGGATGATACGCACACAACGGCAGGGTGGAGCGAGAACGTTACTGCTGGGACGCCGCGCCGGGGACGTGATGGGTAGTTCTTTAAAAATGTCAGCTCGGTGGTGAAGAAAAGGAAGAAACGACGAGGAGAGAAACCAGGAGCAGAACAGGCCAGGCCTGGGGAGCAGCTCGAACCGGCAGCACCTGCAGCTCCACACGGCGCTGGCGGGTCCAGCTCCTCCAGCTCCCAAAGAGCCGCCGACGCAGCGAGGAGGAGGAGGACGAGGASGAGGAGGAARAGGAGGAGGAGGGCGGCCAGGGAAGCGCAGTGGCCCCCAGATGAGGATGTGGCAGGCCCTGGCGCGGCTCGGCCGGGCATGAGCACAGCATGGTGCCATCAGGCAGATCCACGACGCCGCACACAGACAAGCAGCGCCGCGCGGATGTGCAGCAGAGCGGGGCCCAGCGGGCGCAAGGCCAAGGCCGTGCTCCCCACGTGCTCCTCGCTGCTGCAGGGYGCGCGGGAGGCGAGGAGGGGCCCAGGGGAGCCAGGGATGCTCTGATTGCTCCAATGTCCCCRTCTCAGAACCCCCCGGGGCCTGGGCAGGGCCCTCTGGCACGAGCCGTGTCCATATCCCGGGAATACCGGGGTGAGGTGGGTGAGGCCARGCATGGCACCTTCCTCCATCCTCTCCAATTCGGAGGACTCCTCGTTCCTCTGCCGGACCCGGAGAACAAAAGCAGCCTCTAGACAAATGACTTCTGCTTGGCCTTAAAGAAAACGCAGCTCCCAGGCCGGAGAGCTATTAGATGCCTTTGCCTTAATGAAGCATTAAGCCTGAGGCCGCTGAGTGATGAGGATTTAACATTGATACTATTAACCATGTAATTGCGTGTCAATTCAGAAGAGCTGCGCGGGAGCAGGGGCAGGCTTGGCTGGCACAGCTCGCCACGAGCCCCGGGCAGCGGCCCAAGGAGCCGCCGAGCGCCAGGCCGGCCGGGCAGGGCAGCCAGGACCCGGGACAGCAGAGCTGGGCCCCGGCACGGGACGGGATCCGGCGCCGGCTGCGCCGCTCCGCGCTGCCCGCCCCGAGCCCCCTGCGGCGCACGCGGSCCATCCGTCAGGCTCTGCCTTCCCACCACTAGTACTTAAGCAGTGTCACTATAGTTTTTCTTCTTCCCCTAAAAATATTTCAAACAAGAATTTGGTTTTGGCAGGTCTGCAGCTCTGGAAGTAATACCTGGCAGCACATAAAGGCAAGGGTCTCTTAAATGGTCAGCTTTGGACGGAGYGAGACATTTGGTTTCTCTTCTGGATTCCCTTCAGCAGGGCTCCGTTATGATTTGGACCCCAAAGCACAATTAATGTGCTGAGACTGTAGCAAATCCAAGTCTCTTTCCTTTTATTATTCTTAATTGCTCTTCCATCTGTGTACAGGCGGCTCCAGCCAAGCGCCGCGCGGACACGGCGCGGTCCAGCCCTGCAATCCTCCCCTCGTCCTCTTCACCTCTGGGACTCAAGCGCTGCTGTTTTATCTTGCAGCCTTCCCGTGGGATCCCTGCTGGCCCCAACACGACCGTCCTCAGCGGGGCCTGTGCCGGGCCGGGCCCTCCCGCTCGCGCGGGGCCGGACGAGCTGCCACCTCGGCAAGGTTAAGAGCAGCTCTGAGCGCAGGAACATGAGGCCCTTCAGACACAAGTGGTCTCGCAGCTCGCGAAGGGGAGCCGGCGGGTAATTACTCTCCAAGAAAAGAGCCCATTATCCGGCCAGATGCTAAGACGCGAGAAGTAGGTTCCCCAGCACTAAGCTCCTATTGATCTCATGGCTAATGGGCAGAGCAGCTGCAGCGGCGCAGCCCTTCCCGCCGCGCTGCCGAGCCGGGAGCGGAGAGCCGGGCACCTCCGGGCGCTACGGGCACC